ATATGGCGGATGTGCAGCTTCCCGGGGTTGCATTACAAAGCTCATGCGCGTTTCCCACCTACGCAATAAAATAATTGAGTGTCCTGGGCAAAGCTAAATAAAATCTATATTGAAATTTTAATTAGCATTAACAAAAGTAAATTAATAATTTAGAAATATTTTCTGAGAAGAAAAAATGTCAAATTCAATAATTAAAAATAATTTTATATGGAAACATATGGAATCAACAGATTCTATATAACAATTGTAAAATAATTATTATTGATGTTATATCTATATAATAAAATAAGACGTAATAAAAAACTTACAAAACTGTGGACTAGTATAGGAAACAGCTTATGAAATACAACAAATTCTGACAGATGTTTACTCTTTAAATATCACTACTTGATTGATTTAATACCTTGCACAATATGGCGGATGTGCAGCTTCTCGGGGTTGCATTTTAAAGCTCATGCGCGTTTCCCACCTACGGAATAAAATAATTGAGTGTCCCGGGCAAAGCTAAATAAAATCTATATTGAAATTTCCCATCAATGTTTTTTTTAAATTGTAATTTTCTCATAGAACATATACTTTTTAAATAATTGAAATTTTAATTAGCATTAACAATGGTAATTTACTAATTTAGAAATATTTTCTGAGAAGAAAAAACGTCAAATACAATAATTAAAAATATTTTTATATGGAAACATATCTAATGAACAGGTTCAATAATTCAATTATCAAATAAGACATAATAAAAAAACTTACAAAACTGTGGACAAGTGTAGGAAAGAGCTTCAATCACTTTGAAATATAAGAAATTCCGATAGATGGTTACTCATTAAATGACACAACTTCAATGTCAAGATTGGAATGATTTAATGTCCTGCACAATATGGCGGATGAGCAGGTTCTTGCATCTTTTGGCTCAAGCGCATTCCAATATTGGTTTGCGCATATTCTGAGATACATGTGAGTTTCCAAGGTAAAACTGCATAAAATCAATATGGAAAATTGTGATCAGATACGCATTTCCTAGAATATTTCAAATCACATCTTAAAATTTGATTAAAATCATTTTTTTATGTTATGAAATGATAATTTTATTGAAAATAATAATCTATTATTATTCTGTGATTATTTAACATTACTTATAAAACTTAAAAAAATCCGCACTAATCGAATACGAGGTATTATTGTAAATTAACAATTTAAATTTCTGTTTTGTTTTCTTCAAAAATAAGTACTTTGCAAGATAGTATTCAATTCTTCAATACTTAATCTTAAGGATATTTTTTCAAGAATATTTCAAGGATAAAATAAGAAAAATAAGATTTTTTTTAGAAATAAAGTTGTATACTTATATAATTTTAATTCGAATTGGAAATAGCTTCAATAACCTAATAATTGGAAAAACATTTTAATTTAACTCTTCATATTCATTTCATGTCACACATAGAATGTTTTAATATGATGATGGCCATTTACAAATGTAAGCAATTAAATAATGAGCAATTTCATGCAAATATATTTTTCAGTATACTAGGTATAGCAATATTATTAATATTACAGATTCTGGTGAGTTTGAAACTACTATAAATGAAAACATTGATTTTACAATAAATTATAATGTTATCTCATAATAATAATTATCAGTTATACTTCTTTATAAAACAATATATTTATTTAAATATTTAATTAAAAATATTGTTATTTGATTAGTTAATTATTGATTAACAACTTTCGTTGATTGATTGAACCAGTCCATCACGTTCACGTTAATTTTTTAACTCATTAATTGAACTCAATTATAAAAAAAACAATTGTGAGGTGGTGGCACGCACACGTAAAATATCCTTAATTACATTTAAAGTTATATTTAATTATTAACAAGATAGAGTATGTGACACGTAGGCAGCCTTGATGCATACGCATAAACATCAATCAATACAGCAAAATGATGAAAATTATGTAAATTTCATGTAATAGTCAAATATAGATTGTTTTTATTTAAATTAATATACCAATATTTCTTTTATATGAATGTGATGTAAATTCTATAAATTCTATAAATTATATAGTTACCTAACATGGCGGGTAGTTTGATTATGGTTGCGCCAAAGATCGGCGCACAACGCCCGATTCATGCATTGGGGGATGTTCTTTGATATATATTTTTTTTTAAATACTGTTAAAAATCTTAGAATAATTTTTCATTGTTTATAAGAATTATTCATGAAATGCTTCTCTTAATAAACCATAATAATAATATTTATTGTGCAAACCTACAAAATTTAGATCATATAAACCTATAAACTTACCTAGTATCTGCCTAACGGAATTCTTGTAATACGATGTAGTGTACTATAAAGTGATGGTTAGAAGTCATAGTATTATACAGAGAAATAATCACACATAAAAATATTTATGAGCGGAAAATCGAAAGAATTATCACCACAATTTTGATTTAAAATTCCAAAATATTTTCATTATTAAATGTACCCAATTTGAGTGAAAATAAAATATAAGTTACGTTAACTAAAAAAAATAAACATTTAACAGATTTTTTCATTAATCCAAGAATATCTTTGAATTGTTCAAAATTGATTTAATTGCAGGAGGGATAAACTCTCTAATTTAATTATGCAATTTGGAAATGGACAAAATGTTAATGATCTCATATTGGCTAGTATGTACAAATGATCATAAACTTTATAATATAATAAAAAGGTCAGTCCTAAAATATTTGGTCTCTTCATAAGCAAATACATTGGAGACAGGACTATAGCCTAATTAGCCCTGTTGTAGACCTGATATTAGTTGATTGCTTCTTACTAGTATTGAATCTATGAAATGACAAATGTGACAGATACGCATGGGAAAGTGCATGCGCATTTCCCGGGAAATTACAACTGAATCAATAGACCTATAGATTTTATGCGCAGACTCTTCAAATACTCGAGTCCAAAATTTGTTTTAGTATAGCAATGTTTTAATAACATTTTAAGTATAATTTTGAAGCAATGATAATAATATCGACAATTACGAAGCTACAATCAAAGAGGAATTGTCAATCAAGTTTTCAGTTTTTTTCTCGTGTTATTAGGTTTTTTAAATTACAAGCATTTTTGTATTGCCTTTTATAATTGCGTAACTTTTTTAGTTTGGTTCCTTTAATAATTATTATTGATATCACTTACATCGATATCAGATGAACTCAAGTAATGCTCTGCACGTTCGATGTTTAGATTGGCTGTGGAGTGACACGTCAACGATAAACGTCAAATTTTTCGAGACACGCCCAACCGATGGAATCTAAAAAAATATTGCGAATTAGATACATGTCTGTCTTCCTTCATATTAAAGTATACTTTTAGTAAGTAATTTTAAACTTACAGATAATTCAGATAAACTGAAGAAACTGGAACAAGATTCTCAATAAGTCTGTTACTAGAAGCTTTGCACGCTCGATGTTTTCTCTGGCTCAGGAGGGACACGTCAAATTTTGTCAGACACGACCAACCAATGGAACCTAAAAAATATTGCGAATTAGGTACATATTTATCTTACTTTATATCAAAGTATCAATTCGATAGATAATAATAAACTTACTTCGATATCAGTTTAACTCAAATAACTGCAACAATCTCCTTAATAGATCTGCTACTAGAAGCTCTGCACGTTTGATTGGCTCAGGAATGACACGTTAGCGATAAACGTCAAATTTTGACAGACACGCCCAATCTATGGAATCTAAAAAAAATGTCCCAAATTATATACATATTTATCATATTTTTTTACATTTAATTATTATGGTCTTTAATACCAGAAGCATAATCAATTGATAAAGTTAAATAAGTCGACTATAGTATAAGTGGTTTATGGATTTAGAAATTTTGAGGAAATTATGACATCAAATATAAATGATAACAATTACCTGACTTCAATTACAATAGTTCTATTATCTCTTCAAATATGTAAATGGTATAGAAACATACAAGATGTTAAGTGACTATTTGTGCAGAACCAGAAAGAGTACGTGACAGATGTGCAATGATGGATGGAGTTGCATCACAGGAAAGGAGATGAGGAAGTGCATGCGCATTCTTTGTCATCCCGGGCAATTGCAGGTAATAAATCAATTGAGCTATAGATTTTATGCGCAGACTCTTGAAATAATCAAATACATAAAAAAAATAGTGAAAAAATTGCGTGAATTTTTACAATTTTACTTAATACTTCATATTTTCATGTGGTTTGTGAATAAGCTAACTTTAAATTTTAATACAGACTTATAGGAAACTAATATAGCATATGGGTAACAATTACCTGAATTCAGATCTACAAATGGTATTGAAAGATACAAGATGTCAGGTGTCTACGTAGTTCATTATCAAAAACAGTATGGACAATGATGGATGGAGCTGCATCATAGGAAAGGAGATGAGGAAGTGCATGCGCATTCATTATTATCCCGGGCAATTGTCATCAATAAATCAATGGAGTTAAAGACATTGTACGCACACTCAAAAAAATAATCGAGTCCAATGGAAATGTTCATTATATAAAAGTTACATAACAATTTGTAAATCACTTACAGAAAATGATGAACTTCAATCCGTGTAAGATGCTCAATTAGTCAGCCACTTAAAGCTCTGGATGTTCAAGATTTTGATTGGTTCCTTTTGAATACGTCGACAAACTTGCAACCACACTCAACCAATGGAAACTAAAAAAATACATATACATAGTTTATAATTTCTTTCTAAATTATCTTATTTTTTAATGAGTAATTATAATACACCAATACCAAGCTATCATAAAGGACTTTTCTTACGTCACTTCTGAAGTTAAATAATTTGTCAATTAATTCAAGAATTTTTAGAAAATTATATATAATTAAATGAAAATTTATTTAGCTTCAAACTTAAAATCGTATAGACCTCATGCATATGACATGAGCTATACGTATTAAAGTTTTCTTATCTTTAATCCTCCAATAAATTCAACAACTTCATTAATCTTTAATCATTGGTTTAAGATTTAGAAATGATATTTATTATGGTCTGATCAAGTAAATAGTTTTGGTATTGAAACTTACAAGATGTCAGTAGATGAACTAATGAAAATGACTACGTGACCAATGTGCAACTTGAATTACATGATTGCATAAGACCTGAGGACGTGCATGCGCAATGATTTATATCCCGGGAATTTAGGTAATCGATTGAGCTATAATACAACTTTTTGGTTATTTGAATCCAATTCTATATTTTATTAATACTTTGATTAGTTTCATAATTATTGAAGCAAATACTATTATAATCACTTACATCTATTTCAGATGATGCGATTGCTTTGCTGAAAAATGTTGCTCAAATTAGGCATCCACTTGGTTCCTTCCACGTTGGAAGCTGATTGGTCCAGAAAGGAAACGTTGACGCGTTGATTGCATAAGACCTGAGGACGTGCATGCGCAATGATATATATCCCGGGAATTTAGGTAATCGATTGAGCTATAATGCAACTTTATGGTTATTTGAATCCGATTCTATATTTTATTAATACTTTAATTAGTTTCTCAATTATTGAAGCAAATACTTTTATAATCACTTACATCTATTTCAGATGATGCGATTGCTTTGCTGAAAAATGTTGCACAAATTAGGCATCCACTTGGTTCCTTCCACGTTGGAAGCTGATTGGTTCAGAAGGGAAACGTTGACGCAACACGTGACAGCAATAAAGACTAAAAAAAACATGCGCACTTGAATTTTTTTTCTACTAGCTCATCTTTAAGGTTTAATACATCTTAACGCCTTTCATCGAAATCACTACAATTCTTATGACTCCTTCAAAAAAATTTTCAACTTACAACTTCTACCACTTTAATGATCAAATGAATTTAAGGAAGATGCAGTCCATTAAGGGTGCTGTGAATGCAATGTGCATGCGCACTCTTGTTTATCCCGGCAATTTTTTCTCTATTATATAAAATTGATATTAAATAAAAGGATGGAGTTTTATAAATAAACTGTAGAAGAAATTAATCTCTTTTTTTTGAGAAGTAATAAAAATGTTGGATCAGCAAAATTTTCGTGTAGACATCCAAATTTTTACAAAAAAAAATACAACTTGTGCAACAAATCTGAATTAAGCTTTCTTAACATCTAACCCTTTTAAACTATTGCTCCATGAAGATAAAACAACTCAAAAATATTAACAAAGATTACGCAACATTAGCAAACAAATCATTTTGGCTATTAGTTATATAAGAAAACGTCTGACAACCTTAAAGCGTGATAAGCATGAGCTGCTAAAAGTGTTTAAGTCTTACATACATTTCAACACGCAACAATAACTTCACAAACACACTTTTTTTTATAAACTACTCATTGCGTCCGCAATGGCTTCGCAATTACATTTGATCAATATGCTGGCGCGTTCACAACTTGCACACGATGTTTCCCTTTTTTAATGAAGCGCGAAATTTAAAATACGAATGCAAATTAGCAATAAAATCATACAAAATTCAACAAAAGCTATTGGATTTCCTTACTTACTTTTATTTTAAAGAATTTGTGTATAAATCTAAAAAAATAACAATCAATCCACAGTACGCACTCAGCTTAAGAATTGCATCATATCCTCTATTTAAAAAGCGCGAAATTCAATTGTCAGGTGTAAAATTTAAAATTCAAGGATTTTTAAGAATAAGAATAAAGTTCTTATGAATTTGTCTAAATTTGATCATTTTGGGTACAAACTTATTGATTAATAAAGCTTTAAAAAATAATATTTTTTATTATCAATATTGAAGTTAATTGTAAAATGTAAGGTATTCGATAATAATCAAAGGCAAATTTGATACAAATTTATCCCAATTTTCGTGATAAATAGATGTTTTAATAAAAACTTATCTAATGAGAGGATTTAATTTTATTTAAGAATATTCGTACATTTAATTCAAAAATTATATTTTAAACATTACTTCATATTATTTAAAATATTGATACATTTAGATATTAAATTAATAAAAGTAAATGTACAATAATATTGTCTTAATTTACTGTTGTTGTTAACTGTTATTAAATTCAATTTTCTTATATTAGATTATTCAGATAATATAGAAAATCTAAACAAATTTAAGTAAGATATTTTCAATATTCTTATAAAACTAAATATTTACATTAGTTAAATATAGCAAAGACTGTAAAGAAACAGTGCGTGCATATAAAAGCGATTTAAGACACACAAATGCCATAAACTGTAAATTCTATAGAAAGTATAAGCTACCAATAAATTGCAAATAAAAATCTCGTATTTCGTGGAATAACATTGCGAGTGATTTTATTGTGTTTCAACTGCATTGATTACTTAATACTAGTCTCCTTAAAGGTAAGTTTTCTTACTAAATTAGCTTAGAATGGTTATATAATACAACAATTTCAATGGTGAACAGTGCACACCAAGTCAGTAAGTTACTATGCTTTAAGACACGCAAATGCCAACAGTTATAATATTCGAAAATAATTCCTATAAGTAAACATAACTATTTGTCTATGATATTTTTCCTGATGAACGTTGCACGGAGATTCCGTACAAACATTAATACTACATACAACATCTTTTAGTATGATAACAAATGTTTCTATTGGAACTAATTTGTAACATGTAACAATGTATTCAAAGGCAACATAATAATTGTATGGATATAGATTAGAAAACTGTTGTTTCCATTTGGTTTGGTGGTTACGTCAAGCGCTAAAGGATCCAAACTTATGCTGGCTCGGAATGCAGATGTTGAATGTCTCCATTGATCGGTTCTATTTTGGAGTGATGTTAACCTAGAATAAAGCAAACTATAAATTCCTATTGCTATTACAAAATGTTCAACAAGCAAAGTATTTTAATCCTCACAAACTACAATTAATCATTAATTATAGAAATTACTGTTTAATATTATTAGTATATTAATTCTAGTTGTGTAGCTTAATCCTGGATATACTTTTATTTTTCTTTTATTTTAATATCAAATTATCATCTTCACGTGAAAAGTTCTTGTTTTCATATTAAATTATATTCTAGGAATATATTTGGATACTGATACTATTCTAACATATCTTCTTATAATTACGTATCCTCTAATCCTTAGTTATCTACTTTTCGTAACGTATCCTCGTATCCTAAATTATCATTTGATCGTAGCTTATATTTTTAATTATCATCTTATCATAACTTATCCTCGCACCCTAACTTATCATCTTGTCATGACTTATCTTAACTTATCATCTTATATTATAATCATAGCTTATCCTCGTATCCTGACTTATTCTCTTAGCCTGGCATATTTTGTTACAAAATGTGATAACTTTCAGTTCTGTTACAATACTCTTTTTGAACTTAATTATTATTTAATAGTCTCATATGATGATACATTTTTTGTAATAATTACAGCGTAAGTATAATATGTAAGTATTTAAACTTGTCTTTATATACTAATAAGTATTACATAATATTCAATTAGTCTTTATCCACATATTTCATAAGATTTCTTTTCTATAATGGCTATAGTTTTTCTTCCAGGTAATGAAACCTTTCACAAGTTTTCAAGCTTCAACAATCAACAACATTAGAATCTTCTACGAAGTTCAATACTATTTTTGATAGGATTTGCTTTAGTGGCTATAACTTCTGTTCCAGATAAATCAATTAAAATATTTGATATGTGTACATCTCCTACTGATAAAATCAAGAAATCCTATTTATTCCTTTCTGCCTGTACCTCAATCTTCTGGTAACAAAATCTTAAGTATCAATAATTTATAATCTTCTTACAAGTAATATGTAACATACAATATTACTTTATATCTTAGTATTTATGCGTATAACTATTATTGTTTCAATCATTTATTATTTGATAATCCAATGAGTCTTAGGGTATTACTCTTACACTGTGGATTATCCACCATCAATATAATTCCTCTTTTCATCTTAATACTTTATATCTCAGTTGCAATAAAATCGTAATGAGAATTGTAATTCAATACATTGTAATTTCTTAATCACTAAATCTTGATGATTGTCGGCTTGCAATAAGTATATTCTCCTCAAATCTCTTCCATCCATCATAATACTTAATTTCTTAGTATTTGTTTTTTACATTACTTTACAATGGTAGGAATTGGATAAATCTATGTTAATTCTTCATCTCCTATTATTCATATCTTAGGCTCTCTTATTTAATCATTCTAAAAGTCTCTTTATCCTTATTTCTATTGGTAACACAATATATGTGAGCTCAGAATATACATATTTTATATATATTTATCAATTCAAATTACTTTCAAAGTATCTAGGAACTCCTTTAGAGTTTATCCTATCCAGATTTCGTCCTTAATTTTCATGAATCCAATCCCCATCCACTTAGCAGATCCGCTTCCGTTGATTAAGATATCATCCTTATATAATGTATAGTCATTAGAGTTATGTTGCTTGCCTATACTAATTACGCTTGCTCGTTTTTAGCAATAAGATCCAAATACTTATTGTAACATAAAATACTTATTGTAAAATAAATTATGATACCAGTTACATAATTACAACACAATGAAATGCCCAAAAAACCGTTTTTTGTTGCGCTCACAAACAAGAGTGTCAAATTTAAGCGCCATCTACACTAAACTTAAGAACTAACTTAAAAGTTTATATATTATCTTTCTTAATTATAATAACAATATTTCTTGTTATAATATACTATATCTATAATATAATATAATTTTTTTAAATACAAATATGTGTATTAACAATAATTTAAACGATTATTGAATAAATATACTTTTTGCACCCTCATCAAGACGCCTATGACTTTGACCGTTAAAACAAAACATTTTGTTCCTTGATTGGGCGTTATTCTCGACCACACTCAGTCTCAGCGTCATTTCGGCGAAGGTGCTTCTTGTATTTAGATTTTTTACACATTTTTACAACGAAGATGGCGTCAAGGAGTAAAAGGCGTAAGCTGAAACAGAAACTGAGAAGACCCCGTAAAAGGACAGAAGATATCCCGATTTGGGTAAGATTCTATTCTCTGGTTAACGCATTTTCCTAACCGTAAAAATTTCAGCTTACCAATATGGCGACAGTTGCTTTGAGGGCAATTGTATTTCTACTTATTTTGTTTCATCAGATGATGCACAATTTCATCATTATGCTTATTGACATGCCTACGTACATCTGTTACAAGACATTTTTCTTGATTGTGGGCCCAGACAATTTCAATATCATCATATGTAGGCTGATACCTTTGACCAGTCAATCCGGATACATGAGCTCACTATTGGCAATCACCAGCTCGATGAAGAAAGATAATCCTAATATGATTAAGAAGTATTTAATCACAATGTTGAACTTTATTTTTCTGGTCGATTATTTTTATACGAAGACCGGATTATATATGATCCTACTTGTGTACGTCTCGTTGGCAAATGGGTGTCTCGCTAGTAATTTTAACGATATATTTCTCAGGATCGAAGCATTCCAATTGAATCAACAAATGTAAATTCAAAATCTCCTTATTCATTTATCTATTTGATATTACTATTGTATTCTTAAAATAGTTCTTTTGATGTACCTCTTATTTTTGTTCATATTTTTTTATATTTCTTTATTATGATCATTTCACTATGTTTTATAAATAAAACATTTATAATGCAACATTATTTTGTATTAAGTTTGTCACAACACATATTGGAGCCACATAAACAACACTATTTCCAACACCCTTACCTTCCTTGTGAGGTTGTTCGCACTTGTTATTGTACACTCATAAACCTTGAAAAATTAAGCAACTATAAAGCAAACAATATAATCACTTATCATATCAGACCAAATCTGCACTGTATGCAATTTATACCAGAAATACAATACTATAAGTTCGAGTACTGCATTGCTCTTAGTAGCCTCTAGCATCTCCAAGCTTCTGTTTTGATTACCAAGCAATGGTTTCACTTAGCATTGTATTCCAAATCCACACTCCACACTTATTGGCGATCTTTAGTTATTGTTGTTTTCAAGCATCTTCAAACTTCTATTTTATTGAGTGCTATAAATTAAACACTGTACTTCTGTATTCTTAGTTGTTGCTTTTAAGCATCTACAGTCTTCTGTTTTATAGAGTGCTGTAAATCAAGCAATAGTATCAGTTTGCATAGTATTAAAAATCCACACTTTATACTAATAATATAAGTTATTAGTTGATGTTGCCTTTAAGTATCTCCAAGCTACTGTTTTGTATATGCTATAAATCAAATAATAGAATCACTTAGCATTGTATTCCAGATCCACACCACATCCATTTTACACCATAAGTCATAGCACAATACACTTTATGTTCTATTGTGCACTGTAAATCAAACAATAGAATCACCATTTTATTGGAGTTGCCATAAAGATAATGGTTGTAAAATAACTCATTCCTACCTGCTCTGAAGCCTTGTTTGAAATTGTGTAGTAGTCCTTCCATATGAGGTAGAAAACCTTTGATTCTGGCTAGTTATGAAAGGTCCTTCAATCTTCGATTTATTTTACCTCCTTTGTCTTCAATGTTTTTGTTGATTAATTTAGGTTATTTGTTCTTAGTTCATTATACATATATTTTCAAACATGTATTTTAATTGATTTATAACTTGAATTATAGTACATTTCAAATTATGATAATTATTTCATACTAAATTAAGAAACATTTTTATTTATTTACTTCTTCTCAAGTAAATCTCCATTTAGCTTGCATTCTGCACAATTCTCTCGATATTTATTCATTCATTTCCCATCTATTTATATTTTTCCTATTTTAGAATTATTATTTTTAATTTTTTTTCACTAATTTTTAAGTTTTTAAGCTTCTAAATCTTCTTGAATATTCTTCAATTTTCAAATACCAATAATCTTCATCATTATAGCATGAATATAGTCAATCATATACTATAATCTTTCATTACTAGTTGATCATTATTGCATAATCCGTATTTATCCTTGCATAATCCATAAACTGTTTCCTTGATTCTTAATGATTCCTTATGCACCGAACAATTTTATTGTTACAGGGGAAGTAATATTTAACTCCCATTAATACTCTGCTTGCATCCCATTAAATTTCTTAGGATTCCTAAAAATCAATTTAAATAAAATTATTTCAATGATTACTCTTCATTTGTATCCAATCCCTCGATGAATTTAATTGTAGGATTCTTCCAATCCTTGTCCTAATTAAAATATCAGTTGATAAAAACAAAATTAATATTAATTTACACTATTTACACACACAAAACAAAATAAAAATGAACACTATTTATATTTTATAATTTGCAAATTCCTCTTGAAGTTCTTCAGTTTTCTTTCTTCATTCTTGATTCTTCATAAATTCCTCAATGATTCTTCATCCTGAGTCCAAATTTGTCCTTGCTTCTTCATTTCTTCATTAATAGTGTTACGTTGTTAAATTTCATTGATTCTCGCATTCTTCAATATGCGTACAAAATAAAAATATTGACTATGATTTGATTTGACTTATTGATTTAATTTATGGGCTTCATGCATGACACTCTTGTATATAAATAAAAATAGTTTAAATAAATTGAAAATTGATTTAAGTTTCGTGAAAATTTTAGGCATTTCATAAATCTTGAAAAATATTAAATTAAAATTATAAACTCACCAAAAAGCTTTTCCAAATCCGTCTTTAATCTGCACAGCGTTTGACTCCCTGGCTTGCACCAACGCAAACTAAAAAATGTTTTGATATTGATTAGTGAAATTGTATTGCTTATAGAGCTTTGAAACTCAAATTACCTTTAAACCAAAAATCTGGGTTAAAAAAAAATAATAACAATCCCAATTGCATCAACGTAAAAAAGATCGTTTTTGTGATGAAATAAATTAAAGTTGTGAAATGTGGAAACCTATGACATTTAAAGATGCATGGATACGCCAAGTGGATTACGTAATTTCGATTGAATTCTTAGCACAAAACGATGTCATCCACAGCACATAGTGCGCTTCATGTCTCTAAAAACAATAACAAAGAATTTAGTGTTACGTAAAGCGGAGGTTAGTTAACTTACCCCTCGATTGATGGAATTGTGTTTTCTATAAGCGCTTCGACGGATTTATTCATTTTCCTTCACCGAATTTAGAAATAATCGAGTACAACTAAAAGGCAAATTCTGAAAAGTACAAATGATACAAGCTTAATCCAATATTATTACTTACATTATATCCATGGTTGTTGTAACCTCGATAAGATGAAGGATGGTTTAGGCTCTTCGTGCACTGCCCAACAGAATATTCAGGTGAAAATGGCAACAAGTCCTGGGAACTGGAATATAATCAATAAACCGTCGGGGACGCATGCTTATAGCTTCACAGATACAGGGTGACCCAATTTCATTGGAGCTAGTTCTCCCAGTGATTTTGCAAATTAAATATTATAATAATACAACTATTGATTAACTGGAAGATTTATTGTATATAAGTTACAAAAGTTATTGTATAAAAGTTACATAACAAATGATATATCTTCCCCTAAACTTATGGTTCTAAAGCTATGTTTCTAAAACAACCATCCGGAATAGCCATAGCTATATTTTTCAATTGTTGCACCTCTTCAGTATAACTATTCAAGCGCTGAGTGTACATCTCAATGAGATCATCATTATCCTTCTTTTCCTTCTCAAATTTATCTAATATATTTTCAATTTTGTTTTGTTTAATCTGCTTTTCAATATAATCCAACCTCTTGCGCACAGGATCTAAATCTTCCACCTCAGGTAAATCCGAGATATTGCTCCAAATATCAACTATTTTTCTCGACATATCGTCGACTAGTCTTGCAGCTTCTTCTGTACTAATTTCAGAATATTCCACCTACAAAAAAAAGTAATTAATATAATTAATATATTATATATAATATCAATAAACTTACAGACGCTTTGATTTCAGTAATCAATTGATTATTAACTTTATCTCCGTGTATTTTCATAAACTTTTCTTTAACTTCCTCCAGTTGCTTATTCACCTCCAACGCTCTTTCATGCAAATGAGAAACTTCTATAAACAACGCCTCTAAATCAACGGAAACTTCTTGCATCTCTTTCATAACATCATCTGCGGATTTTATTGTATCTTTCGCTCCTCGTATAGCCTTGTCGGATTTGACTTTAATCTTATGGAATTTCGGTCCTATTTTTATTAACAAATCTTGCACATAACTTAGTAAATTTTCGATATAAGGCATTTTATTCAAAGAAGATTCGGCGATGGTTCTAGTATTAGTCAAATTCTTATTGAAATCTGAAAAACATAATATTAGGTATTGCTTTAACTAATCAATTTAGGTATAGATTTACCACTGATAGCATTGTACGTTTCTGTGGCTTTCGAAAAAACCTTTGCACATAGATCCACCGCATTAAATGTTTTAATTGCGTATTGTTCAATTTTAAAGATTAACTCATTTAAATCATTTGTATATTCAGTAGCTTTGAGTAATATTTTTTTAGAATCTGTTATTTGTTCAAAGTCGTTTATATTAATATCATCCAAGTTATTCATATTAATAAGTATCTCCTCGGAATCATCCAACATATGTTTAGCATCTTCAGTTATTCCTCTGAAATCTGCAACGGGAATCTCTTTATGCAACGTTTTTACTTCAGCTAGTAGCTGTAAGTTTAAGGATGTTATATCCTTCCATTCGTTTTGTGCTTCAATTGCTCCCTCGTTATATTTTTCAAACGTATTAAATTTATTAGCGATATCTCCATTTAAACTATGAAGTTCCTGTTGGAAACCTTTCTTCATATCTGTGCTAGACTTAGCTAGTTTATATGCCTCATCCGATTTAGTCTGAGCTTCCAATGCAGTATTGTAGATTTTGTCCGAAATAGTGGTGATATTTTTAATTAGTTCCCGATTCTGCTGCAACGTCTTCTTCAGCCTTTCGGATTGATCTCCAAAGTAATTTCGTAGTGACACCTTACCAATTTTTTCAAAACATACATTTATAGTTTCTTTCGTCCGCTTTACATTATTGTGTATGTCTACAAACGTGGTAGTTGCCAAACCATCTGAAACATTTATATTTGAAAATATTGAAAAAGAAAATGTTAATATTAATACTTTGATATTTAGCCATATTGATACTATCCTCTATTTTAATTAACAACATTGAAATGGTTTTTTGTTTCTCCACTAAAACAGCCATTTCTTCTTGTATATTATCATCATTGAGAGCATTAGCATTCTCTTTTAAGTGTATAGCTTCAATTTGTATCTGACGAAGATTTGCTTCAAATTGTTTGTCTCCAACCACCAAAGCACGTTCTTCGAGTTCATTCAGCATTTCAGTTAGTTCCTGCAATTTCTTTTTATTCTCCCAATAAGCTTCCTGTACCATATTGTAACATTGCGGACAATCTTTGCAACCTTCACTACGATCATACTTATTCTCCTTACACTGATCGCATCTTCTACCTTCCACATTTTCAAGACAAGGACACTGCCCGCTGGAATCGCATTGCAAGCTGATCGAGCCTAAATCGTCGCATTCACAATCCTGGCAACCTCTTGAAGAAAATTTATATTTATTTTCCTGGCATCGATCACATCTTAAGCTAAAAAAAATCACGAATTAAAAGGCTTTAAATAGATATTTTTCCTAATACCCAGTCACTCCTGGTTGACAATGACAACGTCCTGAATGTAAATCACAGGTATGATCTATTGATCCAACCGTATTACAATTACATGGTTTACATCCTTCGTCTTCAATCAAATCGTAGTAACCTTCCTCGCATTTATCGCAGTTTCTTCCATACACGTTTGGTTGGCACTTGCACATACCAGAAATCTGATCACACATCAAACTGCCATCATCAATTTTTACAGTGCCTTCAGATGAACACTCGCATTCTTTACAGTCACCTTTTGGAAGAGATAAAGCATCTCCGTAATAACCTAAAATGTATACTTAAAACATGTTAATTGATATTTCTTGCTAATTACCTGGTAAACATTCCTCGCAATATGCACCTCCGGTATTGTAGATACATTTCAGGCATTTCCCAGTTTTAGTATCGCAGTTTCCAACAGCATCGTTATCAATGTTTAAATTACAGTCACACTTTTGGCATAATTCTGTTGGTGGCTCTCCGAAGTAACCATCCAAACATACGTCGCATCTCCGACCGCCGTACCCTTTCGGACATTCTATACATTTTATATCATCATCATCCACTATACAGGCACCACCATATGGACAACCGCAGGATGAACAATCATTTTCTGTGCCCATCACGGCATTACCATAGAAACCTCTAGCACATTTTTCACAATTGGTGCCTACCGTATTGTGATTACAATAACAATTCCCAGATATAGGATCACAGTTATCCGCGTGTTCATGACAGTCACACTTCTTACATGGTAATAGAGGACTACCTAAACGTGAAGAATGTGTGAAGCCTGGTGCACAAGACTCGCAGAACTGTCCAACGTAGCCTAGATAGAATAACACGAAAATCAACTAGCTTTAGCTTTGTTTATTCGTACTGACCTGATACGCAATCGCAATGCTCTATCCAAGAGGCTTTTTCGCCAGCAATACCAGACAAAGCCGTCTCTAATTTAAAGTCCTCCAAATATCCGGTACCGCTACCAGAATATGAAGCTTTTATTTTAATAGCCGTCAAATTGCTTAGAATTGATATGAATTGTTTAGCAGACAGCTTCGGTGTCCAGTCGAGACTAGAATCTTCCATCAAACGAAATTTATAATTTTGACTCTAAAATAATCATAATAAATTAAATAATAAAACAATAACTAATTGATAGTATTTACTTTAGTGGTGGGAAGTTTGTTTTGTTGCGAAAATATTTTAGTGGCAACGGAAGATCCATCGCCGCCTTCCAACACCAAATCACTCGATGTACTCCTTACATTATCGCTAATTCGAAGAGTGAAATACAAATGTTGACCATACGAAGCACGTTGATCTCCAGTAAAACGATCCGATGATACAAAATATACATCATCACCTTTAGAAGATGCACTAATACTCCTATTTTTACTGTCATACTTCAAACTAACCGTTTCACCGTACGAATTGATTGCCTTCCATCGCTCATTACTCTTGGTAAACTGAGCTTCATACTGATATTTGGAGTAACTGTTGGAGGAATGGCAGCTGGAGGAATGTCCGTAACAGAAGCACGCAGTGCAACCGAATATGTTATCACTTTCCAGATTGAAGAATCCTAGTTTACATTCGGAACAACGCATCCCTTCTACGTTTTGCTTACATTTACATACACCTGTTTCAGGATCACATCTAGGTATGTTATCCAGTGAACCGTATACGTTGCAATTGCAGCTTTCGCATCCGCGATTCCCAAAGTTGTAATGATTCTCCTTGCACTTGTCACATTTCTGACCAGCTACACCGGCTTTACAGCTACAATAACCATTAGTATTGCATTGAGACGAATAAGATCCAATTGGATCACAATTGCAACTTCTACATTCACCCGTCTCCAATTGATAATAATCTACTTTGCAATAATCGCAGTTGGGACCACTACGATTTCCTGAGCACTCCATGCAATGACCGCCATGTCCTGTTTGTCGGTATAACTCCTCGTCGAAAAAGCAGGAATTGGAATAACCATTGCAATTGCAAGCTAATATAAGATTAATTATAACATTAATTCAACTTTCAATATTTTTCAAATCAGAACTGTCTGTGTTATTTTACATTGAAAATAGAAATTGGAATGAAATATACCTTTGCATTCATTAACATGCATGTCTGTGGCTCTTTTCCAAGGTACATCATTGTAGTATGGAAGACATTTCTCACAATCATCGCCATAAGTGTTATGCTTGCAATCGCATACCAATTTATCAGAATTTCTTCTGATTGGAATACATTTTGAAGCATGACCATTGCATTTACAATGAGCTCCAATCTCCACGGATATGATAGAATAATAGTATCTTCTTAGCACCCATATATCTTTAAATCGCTCATCCTGAAAGGTATTTAAACGATCCAGAGAAATGCGTATATCAGTAGCAGTTATCCAATCCTGAGAACAACATAATCAGTGTTTGTTAAAGTTAACTATTAATTTCTCACTTGTAATTCTGGTGAAGTATTAATGTCTGTATTAGAAGGTCTATATTTCTGAGCTGAAAATATTACACGTTCTCCACTCAGAGGAGATATATCAGAATATGAAGAAGTGCAAAGCGCCCTTGCTTCCTGTACTCCTTTCTTTACCGCAGTCGAATCCTGAACACCGTACGTCTCCTGGCAAGTAGCGCTGTAACATTTCGAAGATAAAATCATGAAAAACATAAAATCCTTAATAAGCTCTAACCTGAAATATTGATAAGGAACCCAAGGACACGACTCGCATACTTTCTTGTAAATAGCGAAGCTTTCAGGTCTCGGTGATTTAAACCATAAGGACACGTATATAATATCATAGGCTTTGTCTGCAAACAAACAACAAATATATAAACATTCATCTTTATAACCATAACATTATAACTTACTAAAGTTCAATGTTAAATGTATTTGATTTGGATATTGAACATCATGCTCCATGGTCTGGGATTGCCAATAAGTATTACTTTGACCATCGGTTAAATATTTTGAGGAATGGTCTCTCTCGTTGCAAATATCGCATGTTTCATTTTTCAACATGCAGAAAATGCTACCGTTACAAGTATTTGTTGCTTGGATCAATTTACCGTGTGCGATTTGTTCAAATTTCTACAAACTGATTGTTATATTTAATATTATTAGTACTATTACTTACAGGTATTAAATGTCTAACATTCTCCAAACGTTGAAACCCTTTTGCAGGAACCAAGAAAATTAACAAAAATACGATACGCATTTTACTGATTTGAAGTCGCATACCGTACAAGTATAAATGCTTCGTTCTTTCAAAGTCTAAACCGGTGAAGTTAAAAAACTTAAGTCAGCAAATGCTCCATTTACGGTCCGGAATATAATGTAAATAAATACGTTGGATCAGCGTCTGCACTAAATACAATGTTAAACTGCTGAATTAGGACCTTTTTCCTTGCTCTCTTTTTTACATTGTATAAGTTTATTAGAGGCCATATCATGTACATTTATATTTATATTATTCAAAACATTACAAACGATTTTTTTTTTCAATATTACATAATAAAACTGTTTTATAAAAAAATACGCGAAGCTGTGAAAAATTAAAAAACAAACAATAGACTGATGTCTCTTTTAACCTGAATTTCATCCTGCAGCATCAGAGCTTACTTAAGCCTATAAATTAAGCTTGAAAGATACTAATAGTAATATTGCAAAATAGATAATAATTCTATATGGTTAACAGAATCTTCTCATTACGCAATTCTATTTGTAAATTTCTCTTTAACTAACAGTAATATGATAATTATATGTATATAATTGAATTAAAAAATTAATAAATAATGTATGTTATTAGATATATATAATATAAATTTGACTAATTAAATTACTTAAATTTCGTCATTCAAACATTTAATTATGTAATGCATAAAGTTGTTATTCTTATTCTTCTTCCTCCAGTATTGAGTCTCCTTCTGGAAACCCCTTCACATTTAGCTGGGTCCTGTCGACCGGTTTGCCAGTCACGGGTCTATATCGCAAGCCCGACAACCGAAAGACAGTCTATTGAAAGCCCGAGTGTATTGAAATCCCGACTGTATTGAAATCCCGACTATCATAATCCCGACAATCAAAATCCCGACTGTATCGAAATCCCGAATATATCAAAATCCCGACTACAATCCCGACAATCGAAATCCCGACAGTGTCTTTTATTATTATAATTTCTACAATAACATTTTTAAATTATTGTACTATATTTTAATAGGTACGACGGATACTGAAAATTAATTGTTGTTATTTATTCTTAAAAACAATAAATAATATTAATTATTATTGTATTTAACATAATATTNAATACTAATATATTTTTTTAANCTTAAANNACAACANTTAATAATTCTAATTNTTGATTATTGAAGGCATAATATTAAATACAATTTCATTTCATTTAGTTTATGTTACTAACAATAAATAACAACAATTAATAATCTTAAGTTTTAGATTGTCGGAATTTCGATATAGTCGGGATTTTGATTGTTGGGATTATGGTAGTCGGGATTTTGTGATCACAAACAACACTAAGATGTTATTATTGTAGAAATTTATAATAATAAAAGACACTGTCGGGATTTCGATATAGTCGGGATTATGGTAGTCGGGATTTTGATATAGTCGGGATTTTGATTGTCGGGATTATGGTAGTCGGGATTTCGACTATAGTCGGGATTTCGAACAGTCGGGATTTCGATACAGCTCGGGATTTCGAACGTCGGGATTTCAATATTGTTTNGATTATGGTAGTCGGGATTTTGACATAGTCGGGATTTCAAGCGTCGGGAATTTTAATACAGTCGGGATTTCGAACGTCGGGATTTCGATTGTCGGGATTATGGTAGTCGGAATTTCGATACAATATCGGNTTTATGGTAGTCGGGATTTTGACATAGTCGGGATTTCAAGCGTCGGGATTTTAATACAGTCGGGATTTCGAACGTCGGGATTTCGATAGTCGGGATTTTGGTAGTCGGGATTTTCATATAGTCGGGATTTCGAAGCGTCGGGATTTGATACATCGGGATTTCGAACGTCGGGATTTCGATAGCGGGATTTCGACATAGTCGGGATTTCATATAGTCGGGATTTTGATAGTCGGGATTTTGATATAGTCGGGATTTCGAATAAACGTCGGGATTTCGATACACTCGGGATTTCGAACGTCGTGATTTCGATAGACGGGATTTCGGTTGTCGGGCTTGCGATTGCCACCTTAGAGCGGAAAAAAATGCATGAACCTCGGACATTCTTATTGAAAATTCAATAAAATCAACACGCAACGAATAGCTCATCAAATTTTTGCTACGCGTTCACAGATGTCGCATGCTTATATAACTTAGTAAATATTGTTTTCAATGGTTTGGGAACATTGTATAATCAATAATTTGTTTTGATTTCGCACCTACACAAATCTGTGTCTATTTCAATCTGTCACCATATAAAGTAGTTTGGAATTATCAAATTGCAAACGTTTATATAAAAGAAGGAAAACATAGATTTTTAGGAAGTTTCTTTTCCAACTGGTAAACGTCCACAGTGACCTTGATTATTATACTAACATTAATTGCAGCATCTGCATTTTAACTAAAACAATAATATATTCATTATTTCTTTGATTAAATGTTTTACTCTCTGGTATTTAATATAAACCTTTTTCTCTATAATGGCCAATCTTTTTTTTTAATAAATTTAATTATCTTAATTCGTTTGTATATATATATTTTAGAATGCGTCATTATTTAATATTATATTATAATTTGAGTTTCGAAATTAATGAGTAAATAATAATTTACTTGGAATAATTAATTTTCACCGAATGATTAAATGTAATTTCCGTTCTTGGAAATACAGTATTCCGTGAACATGATATGTTATTGATTCGAATAATAAAACAACAACGTCTTGTCGGTGTAGGGTTTCGAAAATTATTTGGTTTCGGTATTAGATTTCTTGCAGTTACCTCCAGAAAAGCTACCTTTTTCTGTTCATTTACTGTACGAAGAGATCACTAAGACAGTGGTATGCACGAAGAGATCACCGAGGCTACCGCCTTAACGTCGGGTACCCCAAAGCCAAGATATGCCTTTGAATCAAGCTTCACCAAGCTTAGAAAACGTCGGGTGAGGCAATTTCAGTGTTGCATTTGCTCCATTTTCTTGTAAGTGAAAATACGAAAATAATACCTACAATTGCACATAATTATATATTTTTAGAAGTATTATTGTTACGGTTATTGTCGCTTCCGTTGCATGGGGAATAAATGATTACCGCCCGGAAGAGGATACTACAAATGAAACATTAGTTCTCTTACAAGAAAATTGGCCTTTACCGGATGATTCAACTGAGTATCAATTAGCTTTGAAAGCTGGAAAGAAGGCTTTGAAGGAACGGAAGGATATCGAAGAGAATGCTGCAGAGTTGGAACCCGATTCCGCTAGTTATAGGCACCATATGGTTGTGGCTACTACACCAATGGCTAGGAAATTATCCATGGTTGGATTTGCAGAAGTCCAAGCTGCCAGATATCTGAATGATCGCAACCTAAGCAAGATTTGCCACAAGACCAATTCCATTTGGTTCTCGGATTATTGCGATATTCCGAAACCTGAATGCAATCCTTACAAGAAATATAGAAGTTACAATGGCAGCTGTAACAATTTAAGTCAAGGCTACGGAGTCGCCTACAGTCCGTTCAGGAGAATTTTGCCTCCTGATTACGCAGATGGTGAGGATTATTTATAGATTTAACAGCGTTTCAGTTTCAACATTTTCAGGTGTGAACGCTCCGAGGATGGCGAAAAGTGGAAAAGATCTGCCTTCGGCGAGAACGGTGAGCTTGATCGTCCATCGGCCTATCTATAACGCCGATCCTAAATTTACAGTTATGCTAGCTGTTTTCGGCCAATTCCTAGACCATGATATTACGGCTACAGCCGTAAGCCAGGGAAAGAACGGTAAATCTGTGTCTTGTTGCCCAGTTAAAGATCGAAGACATCCAGAATGTTTTCCAGTCATTTTGGAGAATTCCAAATGTATGGAATTTGTAAGATCCGCACCTGGACCAACATGCTGTATGGGTCCAAGGGAGCAGATGAATCAAGCCTCTGCTTATATCGATGGTTCTGTTATTTATGGTTCTGATGAAAGTGTTGCTAATGAGTTGAGGACTTTCCAGGGTGGAGAATTGAGGATGTTGGTTGTTGACAATAGGACGCTGCTGCCAATTTCGCGCAATTTGAGTGATGGTTGTAATAGGGAAGAGGAGAATAATAAAGGGCGTTATTGCTTCCTGAGCGGAGACGCAAGGGCTAACGAAAATTTACATTTAACGAGTATGCATCTACTTTGGGCAAGGCAGCATAATTTAGTTGCTGGGAGATTGAGAGAAGTGAATCCTCATTGGGATGATGAGAGAGTTTTTCAGGAGACGCGGAAGATTATTGGGGCTTTACTTCAGCATATCGCTTATAATGAATTTCTTGCAATCATTTTGGGAGATTTCATGGGGAAATTCGATTTGGAACCTATGAAGGATGGTTACTATTTCGGGTACAACGCAAGCCTCGACGCTGGTATTTCCAACGTGTTTGCAGCTTCCGCCTTCCGATTCGCCCACACCCTCATACCCACGCTGGTCAAGATGATCGACGGGGGAAGCAAGGCCGAGTTCGTGGAGCTGCACAGGATGCTGTTCAATCCCTTCGAGTTATATAAGAGGGAGGGTTTCGATAAGGGATTAAGGGGTGCGATCAACGACAGCGTGCAGGCGGTCGATCCGTACTTCACGGCCGAGGTGAGTGCTTTGGGCAAAATCTACTGTCACTGTTTTGTATTCTCCTTCGTCTCTCTTCTTGTACTTCTTCGTTGTTTTTTTTTTATTCTCTTGTTGTTTTGAGTCGATACTTCCATTTTTAGCTGAAGGAGCATATGTTCGTGAGAGACGGTAGGAAAGGCTCGTGCGGGCTTGACCTGGTGTCACTGAATATCCAACGAGGTCGTGACCATGGTTTGGCTGGGTATACCAGCTGGCGTACGCGGTGTGCCTTGCGACGGCCCCACAGCTTCCATCATCTGAAGGGGGACATCGACGATGACTCACTCGGCCACATTCAATTCATTTATAGGTGAGACATGATCGCAAAGCATTTATCAATTTCGCACCTTGGAATGGTCCAAAATAAAAATTTAAAAAAAAAACACAACAGCATGATCAGCCTGGGGCATATTTCGGAAAAAAAAAACAATTATCTAAAAATTCATCTTTACTACATTCTCCCATTACTACTATAATTATTATTATTATACCCGCGAAAATGCATCGTTCTTGTTTTCCGTTGCCTCGCTCCAACTTATATATTTTCCACGGCCTGTGTGACCATCCGTGTGTGCGTGTGCGTTTGTACGTACATCTGAATGGCTCCGTGTATGTATGTGTGTCGCTAAAACGAAACTATTTATAAAAAGCCGCGGCCGCCGTCACGACCTATTTCTAATTGGTCCGAATATAAGTTTGTAAATACAGAAAATCAAATTAGTTCCATTTCACTTTCGCATCATAAAATTTTATTACATACAATAAATACCATACCAAAAGCAATTGCTATCATGCAAAGAGTTGTTCATGTGGAGCGTATAGGTGGAGCGCCACTACCTATTTCCTAATTACTCCAACATTTGGATAACAGTTTTTTTGCGGAGGCTGCAACTTGCTATTTCGTTGATAATGCATGGGCGTTCAAAATATTTAAAATATTCAAAATAGAATAACAAAAAAAGAAAACAACAACGTATCCATTAAATGATGCAAATCTATAACAATAGATTTTAAATACATTTGAACTACTCCAATAAAGTGTTTATATTAGTGGATACAAGAATAATAACATATTAGCATATAAAACCTCTTGTATTAGTGAGTGTTTATAAATGGCTGAAGTAGTTTGTTTTGAGAAAGGATAATTTACCTGTATGAAGTAGAGATAAATATGATAATTTTACCTAAAATTCTAATTCACAAAATCTAATTAAATTCAAATTTATTTGATATTTGCAATTCGAATATTAATCGTAAAGTTGTATTTAGAATCATAAATCATGTGAATAGCTCTAAAAGATTATTAGAAAACAAATAGCATATGGATATTAATGTCAGAATGTATTTGAATGGATTATAAAGACTTATCCATATTACTATAATGTTTTATTGCGTTTTCCGTCGGTAAACATCGTAACTAATTTTCACAATTTGAAGATCGTTAAATTGCAAATTTTCCAGAAAGAATGCTCGTACTCCAATTACCAACGTTTCAATGGTTGGCATTGCCAATAATCCGCTCAATAAATAAATATTTACGCTGCGAACAGTCATAGCCATATGCTTAATAGAAATTTATCGGTTGTATCCATAAATACGTGTAACTCAAGGTTAACGAAATTGTACCCAATTTATTCGTTATGCCTACGAGTCATACTTTTTTTTTACTAGATACAGACTGATTCAATTCTAGATTTATTTGTTTCTTATAGTAAATTCCCAGACTCGATAATTTTCTATTTGTGTCTATTATGGTAAATGTTAAAATAAACAGTATTTAAATAGTCGCATATTAAAATTTACATAATTATTATGTATTAAATTTAACAGATGTTAAGTAAATCTGAAATCTTAATTGGAAGTATACATTAAAATTACTAAATCATTTCTAGTTCAAAATGACCGAAAAAAATAATAAATTATAATTGCAATTATGTTTACTTTTTTCACTAATTGAAAATATTATGAAGCAATGGAAAGTTTTCCATTATATTATATTGTTATTAACAAATCTTAACTTTAGAAGAAGAAAAACACATTTTCAATAGCAATATTATAAGAAACAATTAAATTATTATTTTAAATGTCCAAAACCTTTTTCCTGCAATTTTAGAAAAATATCAATTTAAATTGAAAGTGTTTGTATTATGAATATTGAAAATGTTCATAAAATTCTAATGTTACTTGAAAATATTGTGTCTGGATTTTGGTATAAATAAAAAACATAGATAAATTGCAAATATGTTTTTGTAAGAAACATAAATAGTTTTTAGATGCTCTTTACTTATTTTGACTGTTGAAAATATTGTGTCTGAGTTTAAAAAAATATAAAAATCAATACAAAATGTAAATTGCAAATTTTTATGAATATTTTCGGATGTTGAGAAACATTAGAATCGTTGTATCTTTTGATAATTGTATTGTTACAGTGACGTTGACGACATTGATCTTTATACTGGATCGTTGAGCGAGAGGCCGTTAGAGAATAGTTTCCTGGGTCCGACGGTGACGTGCCTCCTGTTGGATCAGTTCGTGAGGTTGAAACGAGGTGATCGCTTCTGGTATGAGAATCCTTCGGTATTCACGCCTATGCAACTACAACAGATCCGAAAGGCATCACTGGCTAGGATCATATGCGACAACTCCGACAACGTAAGATCGGTACAACCGGAGGTGATGAAAAGAGGAACCGGAAGTAACAAGGCTGTGGACTGTGGATACATCGATCAGCCGGACTTCAATCATTGGAAGGAAGAGCTGAAGAAGGTACCGGTAGGACCTCGACCTGTCGAGCCTAGACGCTCTCCCGATGAACCTTCTGCCGTTGCCAAAGTATGAATGAGTTCGCGTTCTTAAAAATAGTCTAGAGAGTAAATAAGCTTAAGGTAAATGGGAGCATTTTAGGCGAGAAATAATACACGTTCCGCTTGTAAGGAACGCTTGAGAAAAATCCAAAACCCATGTTATTTACACGGCACAATTGTTTTCATTGCCTTGTGGCTCCACCGATATATAAATGCAATTTACGTAATAACTACATCACTTTTAATGGTAATATCGAAACGTGCAAACAACAATAACTTTAAGTGGAACAATTATACAATAATTTAGAAAATGTATTTAATTGTAGGAGTAAATTACACGCATTAGCTGTTATTAAACGATGAAAATAATGAAAAAGAAATAATATATATTTAGAATAGAACATTTTGATATTCCACGTACGACCGACATTCGGATTGTACTGGGTTTTTCTTTTAATTGCCGTCCAACAATTTCCAATCCACGACAATTGGCTTACATTCAATCAAACTCAATTGCGTTTGTCCTTGATCGATTGGTTCTATTTATCTGCACGGCGACGTTTCCTATTTTTAAATAATTCGCCAAAAACAACAACATGGGACAAAATATGGGCAACAAATTGTTCGGAATCGGCGCATTCAGATCGACACGAACAAAACTCATTTAACACATGGAAGACCATCGATCGGTCTGTGCCAGATGTGTACTTTACTGGTGATGATCCGTCGTTCCGATGGGTGTTGACCTTCAAATATTACCCTCAACATACTGCACATGTTCAATTTAATCACTGACAAACGCATAGCAGAGTCAAACATTTGCTATATTAAAAAAAATAACTTGCGACACTGCTGAAAAATGTTGTTATAAATTCGATTCGAAATTCTGTGATCTTTATTATCCTTGTATCGTTTCTCTCTTTATTTTGAAATGTAGCCTCTGCGTACGAAGCCATATAAAGTATATGAGCAAATAGTTTTAGTAAATATCTCAATTCTTGCAACGCGAAAAAATAAACTGGCTAGACTGCTTAACCCATTGGGAATCGGTATTCTAATTATAGGAGACTGATGTAGACAAAAATTCCAACTATTGCAATTTGTTTGGGACTTTCGTATATGAATAGACTCAAATCTAACATTTTTTGGAAAACTACATTTTATACATGTTTAATAACAAACATTACATTGAGTGTAATACTGGTGTATTTAGCTTAGATTAAGATTATTTAGCCTTAATTGTAAAAAGTTTGCTAAATAAATAAATTTCAAAGTCATATATTCAGTTGAGAAACATTCAACATTCATTAATTACTTTTCACTATTTTAGGATCATCATATTCAGATTGCAATTTATTTAAGATCCTTAAATAGCTAGAAAACAAAATATTTTCTTTGTATACATAACAACAAATAAACATAAATTTCAAATTTTATTGCATTTTTATATATTTTTTTAATATTGGAATTAGGAATAAGAATAGGCAAATTTTCTTTAAAATAATTTTATTAAATACATTTATCTTAAAACTGACATAAGTTAAGTTAATAATTAATTAATATTACTTAATTTATACACACATAATATTTATAAATAATGAGAATTTTTATTTTTCCAAAAGATTCAACACATTGCTATGATTATTATTATTTTTATTTTTAAAAAGTGACTTAAACGAAAGGTAAACTATAATAAGAAATGTGAATTATTTTTTTATTGGAGGTTTGTTTCAAGAAATGTAATGTTGTTTTAGAAGAAACAAAAAAGTAAGTACACTTATTTTCTTCCTGCAAGTTTGCTAATCGTAAAGTTAAAAATAAGCATGCTTTGAAGGTATGATATAATAAGCAAAGCACGAATTCAACCGGAAGTCGTGGAATTAATTTGCTGGATGAAATGCAGCCAAGTGTAAACTAATAGTTATAGCTGCCGCTGGAATGAGTTTAAGGTGGACTTCGAAATGAAACGCAAACAAAAATAGCGTGGCAATTTATTCTAATTCCTATGCAAACAGGTAACAATGAGAGGCATGTGCCGTGCCGTAAAAGTGCACAGGTAGTTTCGATGGTTGTGCATGGGGACCGGGAGTTTCGGACATAACGATTAACCAAAATTATAATATACATGGGCGTGATATAAGGTTCGTGCGACAGTTTCCAGGTGGGTTTCAGATCGAAATGATTTTGAGGACCATTGATAATGCGGGAAGGGAGCGAGATGGATGGAATGGTTGGACAATGAAAAATATCCAATGAAAAGGAGAAGAAATGAGAAGAAGAAAGAGCATTGCATTGTCTTTCCAACGCTTTACAGTTTGTTGGTTTTCGCGTTCGAGCGTTGGCGGACGACTTGAACGTATGACGTCAGCTCACTACTCCTGGCGCTCTATTTTAGGAGCGAACATATCGAGGCTCTGGCATTGAAGATCTCTCTGTATGCTCTCTATGACGCCTGATATATGTCATTATCATTGGATCCGATGTTAAGAGTCGGCAGGAGATGCGAAATAATGGCGTCGATCGAAGTCGTGCAAAATCCTGGCGAATTCCACAACGCGCACGTAACGTGCCGTTACCGCAACGACACGTTACGGACGCCGCAATTGGGAAATTTTTCGACGGTGTGATGTGCGCTATATATACATATTATATCTTTAAACATTTCGTCCTTTATACCTACTCCTCCTCCACCTCCGTCGATCGCCACGTCCTTTATTTTTATTTTTTGTTCACTTCATCTTTCGCTCCTTCTCTCTTCCTCTCACCGCAGCCGCCTATGTTTCGCTTTCTTTCATACTTATTTATATACGTATTCTTTTTAATCGAGACTAGCATTGACCTTGCATCACTGGTTTAACAACAACACATCCAACGAATTACCGCTAATTTGGTCGGTACGGCAATTGTTCCATTTGGGGAACAAACGCAACACATGAAACAACAACGTCCCACTAACGTAGTAAATAAAAATTTTATTTATAATATCTTACATAACTATATTTAATATCCAAAAAAATATATTTTATTTATATATTATTCAACTGCTTTCACATGTATCTATAGATATACACATACGAATATATATATTTATAGATTTTTAATATTTTTTTTACCTATAACATACTTAAATCAAAATGTATATAAGCCACCAAAGAATCGAGAACGAAATAAATATTGCGTGCATATTCATCAAGTTAAAGGGACACCACTGAAGAAGATCATCCAGCAGATCCAACTAAATTTTACTTGTGGTGCCGACTTCCTCGGAATAACAAATATGCAGCATCGATTTTATTTATTAATAAATTTATATTTTTTTTTTGCACGGCGGGCTCGAAAATAATCATTAATCTATTACTAAAGCTAATATATACAAATAAAATATTAATTTCATAACAAAGATTAAACCTTAACTAATAGTTCAAAAACCGCCTATGATAGACATATACACGCAACCTCTCCTCTTTTCCGTTATATATATTTACATTAATATAAGCTGAATTCTGTATTACAATATATATATATATGTTTTTCTCTCCATTTTCTTTTGAATGCTGCTCAACGTTATATTTAAAAAAAAAACTGTTATTTTTTTCATCCGTAAAAATACAAAACACTCACGCATGTTTCTCTGTACTAAAACGTACATACTTTCACTCTTGCTTTAAATATGTAATTATCTTGATGCATGTTGTTGGTGTATGTGTTTAGTTGGGAAGTGTGTCATATAAGATGTCCTTTGCAGATGTTGACAAGCGCTCAGGGAACTTGATGTCGAAGTTGACAATAAGATCACCCTTGTGGGAGGGCTCTTTGGGTATTGGCAAACCAAATCCTGTGAAGCGTTTCACCATATTAGGCTTGATGATTTCATTGGTGAAATCTATAGGAACTTTCGTGCCCACCATTGTTGGTATCTCAATAGTACAACCACACAAAGCCTACAAAAAAAAAAACAGAATCAATTAATCATATGTTCATGATCTTGGCAACAAACCCAAACTGTGCTTAGCTTAATCAATATATACAGTTGGTTTATAATTGCAAGAGATATTTGCATGAAATGCTTGTACACATACCTGCTTCAAAGTCACTTTGGCTGTGTATCTAATGTCACTGCCCTCCCTCTTGAAATGTGGATGCGGTTTATCCCTAATAATGAAGACAATGTCTGCAGGGATTTTGTTCCTGCACTGATCACCTTCCCTCTGGAATGTGATTTTGGTGCCTGCCTTCCAGCCTGGTTTCACATTTATTGTGAGCAGCTTATCCTCTTTCCGTGTTGTGTTGTCTGGTTGGAGCACCTTCCTGCTAATCCTCATCTTCTTTGTACAGCCATTCGTGATGTCTTCCAGATTCACATACAGGTCATGCTCGATTGGAGGATCTTGCAGCTTATCCTTATTCCTATTTGGGTTGCTGTGGAAGTTGAAGGAATGACTTCTGAATGCACCACTGCCTCTTGCTGGTCCTCCAATGTTCAAGCCAAAAGGATCCGTATCCATATCATCATCATCACCAAATCCAAACATCCTACTGTTACTGAAGAATGTATCAAAGGGGGTGGTGTTACCAAAGAACTGGGCGAATGTCGCCCTAGGATCACCATGGAAGGTGTATCTGAAGTTGTTCGGTCCCATTCCAGTGCCACCAGGGATTCCTCCCTTGAGCCCTTCCTCTCCATGAGCATCATAAATATCCCTCTTTTTCTTGTCAGAGAGGACCTCGTAGGCCTCCGCGACTTCCTTGAATTTCTCTTCTGCACCAGCTGTTTTATTTTTGTCTGGATGAAATTTTAAAGCCAATTTGCGGTACGCCTTCTTGATCTCCTCATCGGTGGCGCTCTTGGTTAGGCCCAATACTTTATAGTAGTCTTTCCCCATTTTCGCAGAGCTGCTCCGGATTTACGTGTGTCTATCTGTCTCCAAACTCACTCGCAATTCTGATACAAAACACTTTTCGCTCGATGCCCACCCGATCACTTCTTTATGGTCGCACAATCAACAACGAAATAAGCGGATCACAACCGCGTAGACCATTTATATGTTGACAGTTATTCTAGAATCTGAAATGGAATATACTAGAAACTCCTACACCATTAGCGCCGCACCAAAGGAACACTAGTCGCACCAATATTTTTGTTGCGCCCTGTCGGAATACCGATGTATCTATGCACAGTCGGAAACTTATACCAGCCTACGTCGAACGTCGAAATCGCACCAAATCCGCAACCGATCACTGCAAAAATGGCCCAAAATGTGAATAAGTAAAACGCCCGGCCGGACGTCACTGGAAAATTTCCGTTCCGCAATGACCTGCGCCAAAATTCAAAATACCAACAGAATTATATCTGCCTTCCTCAATATTCCTGAACCTACCAGACAATTTCTGCTAATTACATAAAGCCAAATGTTTACAGAATTGCAACCTGAAAGCGTTATTATCACTCTAGGTTATCACGTGAAAACGCCCATACGGTTACGTATGCAACCGGAAGTGCACGCACGTTATACAATCATATACCATTGGCGGTCATTTCAAAATAATTTTGTATTATATTGCTCATTTCCATTGCGTTTTGCAAATATGCTTCCAGCGAATACTAATACCTATTTATGATATCATGTTAACATAATTAAAGAGATGACCGCTCCAATGACGCACCGCTTGGAGGCATTCCATGCATTGGAAACAAAAGAAATCATAATTGCACTTTAAAACAGACTTCAATAATCGTGCAAATCGCTTACTTCCGTTGTGCTCTGATTAAACTTTAAATATCATAGATTTTCATTTCATAATTAAAAAGTTGCTGGAAATATTGCAATATTATCTGAAGAAAATCCAATAATTTCAATTAAATCATTATATCAAACCAAATTCATATCTTTTACTATAATTATTGATTCTCATTTAGGATTTACTTTAAAATACTTATAGACGAAATGCAAATAATAATTAACTTATGTTAATAATTATAATGGGACATCAATTGGCAGAATTATTTCTGCTTTATTTGATTTTTATTAAGTTAAAAAAAGCAATAGTATTTAGCATTCAAATCCAAGTAAAGGTAATCTCAATTTTCCGTTATACGTGATATCAGAACTACGAGGACGCAAATGATGAAATAATATTTATTCTTTATTGTATTTCTATGATGCATGTGACATATGGTTTAAACCAGTGACTATCAAATTGTTGGTCACGACCCCCACGTGGGGGGGTTGTTTGCCAAAAGTTTCGTTGGAAAAGTGAGGTATTCAGATTTAAATTGTGTGGTCGATGATGTCATTACCTCGCCAAATTGAATTGAGAATGAAATTAAAATGCTTAATTTTGATAACTTATAGTAGATGTACTGACCATTTGAAATGTTGTAGTTTCTCTTTAATTTGCGTATTTGATGGTTTACTTAGCACGAGTAGTAATCGATTAATTTAAAAAACGTGAAGGTATTGCAGCAAATTGAAAAAAATAGTTAAATAAATGGTTCTATTCTGAAATATTAGAAAATTTTAATTTACAGTTTTAAAGTATAATTCTTTCGTTTTCATTTGCTATAAAATACGTTAGTTTTGGTCTAATACCAAACTTTGATAATTAATTGTGACGAAGCTATACTATTTGTATTTATACTCATTTTAATCTCTCTATATTCAAGATCAATATTAATGCCCAAAATTCTTCTGAGAATTGGTGTATACGAAAATAAAGGCCATTTTCGAAAACTTTATTTTCCCAACTCATTTATGAAATACCAAAGTTTATTGATCAATTATGAAGACACCGTGTATATTCAAGTATATAACATCCATTTATATAATTTTTCTGGGAGCTCATGTTTACGAAAATACAGGCTATTTTCGAAGACGCTATTTTCCTAACTCATTTGTAAAATACCAAAGTTTGTTAATTAATTATGAGGACACAATTGCAGCTACAAATTAACATTATATCATTTTTCTGGGAGCTCAAGCAGAGACATCCTTCGGAATATTCAGGAAATAGTCTGCAACCAAACATACATTTAAACTTTGATGAACAAGTAGGAAAACAACGTTTTAGATAATGGCCTGTATTTTCGGAAATATGAGCTCCCAGAGGAATGTTATACATGGATATTGATCCTGAATATACACAAATTAAAATGTTAATTTCTAGTTGCAATTGTGTTTTCATAATTGATTAACAAACTTTGGTATTTCACAAATGAGTTGGGCAAATAACGTCTTCGAAAATGGCCTATATTTTCGTATACACCAACTCTCAGAAGAATTTTGGATATTAATATTAATCTTAAATATACAGAGATTAAAATGAGTATATATCCAGGCTTGTAGCTATCATAGCTTCGTCACAATTAATTATCAAACTTTGGAATTAGAAAACGTTGTTTTCGAAAATGGCCTATATTTTCGTAAGCACTTGCTTCTAGAAGAATGTTGATCTAATATAAACAGAGATTAAAATAAATCATAATAAAGATTGATAGTTATATAAAATACTTTTAGTCTCTTTCTGGGAATTTGATGAAAATTCACATTTTAGTTAAGCCAGTATATTCAATGCACCCAGCATTCATAAATGTTTTCCAGTCTCTAAGGATCATGTAGGAAATAACAATAGTATCATGGGTGCTACAGGGTTCACAGTTGTTATCCATCTTCTTAATGAAGTAACATTTTTGGTAACTTTCAACAGTTAAGGTTTCCACTATTTGCAAATGAAAACTGCTAGTAAATAATGCTTTCCACTTTCTGGGGAACTTAAAGTCATCAACTATACATTAGAGGCATGTTGTTATCAGCTCCACCTAAAATAATAACAATTGTACCAATGTTTGTTCACTACTTATATTATGACTATTAACAATTAATGCACATTCTTACATGAAGACACTGTTTTATGTAAAAGATTTTAAGAATTGTCCCTACTTAGCTGCAGTATGTTTTCTGAAGACAAAGAACTTTAGTGATCGATGGTTGTTGACATGTTCCACTAGTACTTGCCTGAAGTGAAATGTTAAGTTCAAAGAAAGGTTTCCAATACAAGGAAATAGATGCAGGAAGCAATGGAGCATGTTGTTCATTAAGTTTAAATTCAGAAAAATGTAGAATAATCAGGAAATTCAATAAATACCTTTAAATATGACTTGCGAAAATAGCTATCAGTGTTACAACTATAAGAATAACAGTTCGCTCACTCACTCACGCAAACGTGAAATTCAAAAATTCAAATTTCAACCAATCAGGAACGACCGATGCTAGGAGCTCAGATACCTCGTACTCCTAGTCTCCTGGTGCAAATCCCAATTTACTGGCATTTTCGATAATCATTTTCGGGGGAACTACTTACGTTTTGATTCGCGAAAACCGCCAATTCGTTAAATCTTAATAACTTTCTTATTAATTGACCAAAACTAACATATTTTATAGCAAACAAACGCAAAATAATTATTCTTTAAAACAGTAAATTAAATTTTTCTAATATATGAATGTATATAAATTTATTAACCCATTTTTTTCAATTTGCTGCAATATCTTCACGTTTTTTTAAATTAATCGATTACTACTCGTGCTAAATAAACCATCAAATACGCAAATTATAGATAAACTACAACCTTTCAAATGAGCTAACTGTCGGCATTGTGGTTTAGGCAGTACATATACATAAGTTGTCAAAATTAAGTATTTTAATTTCTTTCTCAATCCAAATAATTAACCCATGTTTCGATCGAAACTTATTGGTTTTGTTTCATAAAAAGGTGCGTAAATTTATGTAATTTCCTTGTAATTAAGAAAAAGCGTGAAAACTCGTCGGATCTCAACTAAATAGCATTTTTAAGAAAATCCTATTTACTTTTTTTTCCAATTTTTACAACTCAAAGTGTGGGTTGATTAATGACAAGATTGCTTGATTGTTTGTACTTATTTGAACTCCGGATGTTTTTTTAAGTAATAATTGATTAGTTTGGATAGACACTAAGCTTGTAACTAGAAAGACACGAATCATATAGTTATCACTTAAAGTTGATAAAACATAATTATGTCTCGCAGCTTGAGTAATATTTTACATGTTAGTGTTTAAGAAGTAATATTAAGAAATTAGTAAAGTACATTGATAATTAATTCCTGAAAATAAAGAATCGCAATTCACGTGTGTCAAATGCGTTGCATACAATGCAGTTAGGCGGCAATCGCAAGCCCGATAACCGAAATCCCGTCTATCGAAATCCCAACGTTCGAAATCCCGAGTGTATTGAAATCCAGACGTTCGAAATCCCGAGTGTATAGAAATCCCGACGTTCGAAATCCCGACTATGTCAAAATAACGACTACCATAATCCCGACAATCAAAATCCCGACTATATCGATATCCCGTCTATATCGAAATCCCGACAATCTAAAACTTAATAAGATTATTAATTGTTGTTATTTATTGTTAATAACATTAAATAATTTTATTATAGAATATTTCTTATTCTTAAGTTAAATAATGAATAAGTCAACGAAAAAAAAAATACAATAATAATTAATATTATTTATTGTTATTAAGAATAAATAACAACAATTAATAATCGGGCAAAAGAGCCATCGACCTAGGTCTTAAAAAGTATTTTTTTCAGTATCCGTCGTACCTATTAAAATATAGTAGAATAATTTAAAAATGTTATTGTAGAAATTATAATAATAAAAGACACTGTCGGGATTTCGATTATCGGGATTATGGTAGTCGGGATTTGGATACAGTCGGGATTTTGATTGTCGGAATTTCGAACGTCGGTCTTTCAATAGACGGTCTTTCGGTTGTCGAGCTTGCGATATAGACCCCATGCCTTTGGTTTCATCTCATTTTTCACTGCAGTGCCTTGTCTGTAGCTGCATAATACTGCAGATAAGTTTTACCAGGTTTGCAGAAACCAGAAGAATCATATCATCTTATATCAACTTTATATTGATATTTCACACAACGAATTTCTTTTTAGTATTAATCTTATACGAATTTATATATAGTCATATTCTTTGTCCATATTTTAAATAAATAGTAGTAAAATCACATTTATTATACACATAAATACAAGCAATATATGGCTATTATCTGCAATTTATAAATATTTGTATTTAAATCTTTATTCTTAATGAGTAGTTTATGTTATTTATACGTTTACTTTAATTTATAAATAATAAACAAATCACCAAAGTCTTAATATAAATGAATGTAAAATATTTATTGTAATTGATTTATTGACATACTATTACACTTTAATGTAAAGTATTTGAATATAGGACATACTTCTTAATAAATAATTATAACTACTATAAAGATATTAAGTAAAATAATTTAATCCTTATAAAAAAAATTCAATTGATTTAATTTGTTATAGAATTTTGTTAAATCCTTGTAATACATTTTACTGTTTTATATTGTATTTTTTTTGTATATTTTCTACATGAA